GGCTAATTCGAAGAATCTCAAATATAAAATATATTTTGATTTCTTTAACACTTTTTTGGTTACTACATGATTCCATATGTGTTATTTCATGGTTTTGATATCTTCACTATTATTCTACAATGTAGAAAATAGTAAAAATAAAGAAAAACCCTTGAATGAGTCATTGTGTTTAAACTTTCGACTGGTACTGTATATAGATATATATCATATTTGCTAAACTCAGGAATTTCTAGAAAAATATTTCATTTAATGCAGCGTTGTACTTTGAATATAAAAGTATCAAATTACACAACATGTGTAGTATATACACTACCGTTCAAAAGTTTGGGGTCACTTAGAAATGTCCTTGTTTTCGAAAGAAAAGCTATTTTTGGTCCATTAAAATAACATCAAATTGATCAGAAATACAGTGTAGACATTGTTAATGTTGTAAATGGCTATTGTAGCTGGAAACGGCTGATTTTTAATGGAATATCTACATAGGCGTACAGAGGCCCATTATCAGCAACCATCAGTCCTGTGTTCCAATGGCACGTTGTGTTTGCTAATCCAAGTTTATTATTTTAAAAGGCTAATTGATCATTAGAAAACCCTTTTGCAATTATGTTAGCACAGATGAAAACTGTTGTGCTGATTAAAGAAGCAATACAACTAGTTGAGTATCTGGAGCATCAGTAATTGTTGGTTCGATTACAGGCTCAAAATGGATAGAAACTAATAACTTTCTTCTGAAGCTCGTCAGTCAATTCTTGTTCTGAGAAACGGAATATCTCGTACAACGCTAAGTACTACTCCCTTCACAGAACAGCGCAAACTGGCTCTAACCAGAAAAGAAAGAGGAGTGGGAGGCCCCGGTGCACAACTGAGCAAGAGGACAAATACATTAGAGTGTCTAGTTTGAGAAACAGGCGCATCACAGGTCCTCAACTGGCAGCTTCATTAAATAGTACCCGCAAAACACCAGTCTCAACGTCAACAGGGAAGAGGCGACTCCGGGATGCTGACCTTCAAGGCAGAGTTGCAAAGAAAAAGCCATATCTCAGACTGGCCAATAAAAATAGAAGATGAAGATGGGCAGTCTGAGATATGGCTTTTTCTTTGCAACTCTGCCTAGAAGGACAGCATCCCGGAGTCGCCTCTTTTTATTTTTATTTTTTTTCACTGTTGAAGTTGAGACTGGTGTTTTGCGGGTACTATTTAATGAAGCTGCCAGTTGAGCCAGTTTGCGCTGTTATTTGAAGGAAGTAGTACACAGCGATGTACGAGATCTTCAGTTTCTTGGCAATTTCTCGCACAGAATGACGAGTTTCAGAAGAAAGTTATTTATTTCTGGCCATTTTGAGCCTGTAATCAAACCCACAATTGCTGATGCTCCAGATACTCAACTACTCTCAAGAAGGCCAGTTTTACTGCTTCTTTAATCAGCACAACAGTTTTCAGCTGTGCTAACATAATTGCAAAAGGGTTTTCTAATGATCAATTAGCCTTTTAAAATGATAAACTTGGATTAGCAAACACAACGTGCCATTGGAACACAGGACCGATGGTTGCTGATAATGGGCCTCTGTATGCCTATGTAGATATTCCATTAAAAATCTGCCGTTTCCAAGTACAATAGCCATTTACAACATTAACAATGTCTACACTGTATTTCTGATCAATTTGATGTTATTTTAACGGACAAAAAATTTGCTTTTCTTTCGAAAACAAGGAAATGTCTAAGTGACCCCAAACTTTTGAACGGTAGTGTATAAATATATTTATCTTTTAAATGTTTCCTTTTAGAGTTATTTTATATTGTCAGTTTAAATAATTAGTCAGATGGTTTCAACATGGCCAATTTGCAAAAGCTTCAATCATATTCATTATATCTATAGATCTCGAAGGTCGAATAACCTCCATAAAAATGACTCAACCAATTGATTCTTGGTCAGTTATTGTCCCCATTTCTGGTTCTTTCTTTCTTTTTTTCTTTTTTTTTATCCCCAAGAAGTGAACTTTACTACACATTTTTTCTCAAGAGAACAGGATAAAAGACTACTGTTCCCAAACTCTCCAATACTTTGTTGACAACCTGAGAAGAATCTTCCATTTGTCAACAACTCTGTTTTCATTTTGAAAAACAGTAGGGGGGCTGCATTTTTTCTGCATCTTAAAGTATGATCGGAATCCTAACTTGAAATTGTGCATACACCTCAAAATTACATCCTCCAAATCAGGATTTGGGCCTAAGATACAGTAGCACAGTGAGTACGTCTACTCTTGCAGAAAACAAATATATGCCAAAATAAATATATCAAAATATAAATATTAAATAGAGATTTCATATTTGGAGTTTAGGGAGGTGGATATTTTAGAGGTCAAGTATATTTAACTGAACAAAAATATAAACACAACATGTAAAGTGTTGGTCCCATGTTTCATGAGCTGAAATAAAAATCCCAGACATTTTCCATACACACAAAAAGCTTATTTCTCTCAAATTTTGCGCACACATTTTTTTTCTTCGTTCCTGTTAGTGAGCATTTCTCATTTTCCAAGATAATCCATCCACCTGACAGGTGTGGCATATCAAGAAGCTTATTAAACAGCATGATCATTACACAGGTGCACCTCGTGCTGGGGACAATAAAAGGCCCCTCTAAAATGTGCAGTTGTCACACAACACAATGCCACAGATGTCTCAAGTTTTGAGGGAGCATGCAATTGGCATGCTGACTGCAGGAATGTCCACCAGAGCTGTTGCCAGAGAATTGAATATTAATTTCTCTACCATAAGCTGCCTCCAACGTCGTTTTAGCAAATTTGGCAGTACGTCCAACCGGCATCACAACCGCAGACCACGTGTAACCACGCCAGCCCAGGAACTCCACATCTTCACCTGCGGGATCATCTGAGACCAGCCACGCGGAGAGCTGATGAAACTGTGGGTTTGCACAACTGAAGAATTTCTGCACAAATTGTTAGAAATCGTCTCAGGGAAGCTCATCTGCGTGCTCGTCATCCTCACTAGGGTCTTGACCTGACTGCAGTTCGGTGTCATAACCGACTTCAGTGGGCAAATGCTCACCTTCGATGGCCACTGGCACGCTGGAGAAGTGTGCTCTTCACGGATGAATCCCGTTTTTAACTGTACGGAGCAGATGGGAGAGCGGTTTTCTGATGTCAATGTTGTGAACAGAGTGCCCCATGGTGGCGGTGGGGTTATGGTGTGGGCAGGCATAAGCTACGGACAACGAACACAATTGCATTTTATCGATTGGCAATTTCAATGCACAGAGATCCCATGACGAGATGCTGAGGCCTATTGTCGTGCCATTCATCTGCCGCCATCACCTCATGTTTCAGCATGATAATGCACAGCCCCATGTCGCAAGGATCTGTACACAATTCCTGGAAGCTGAAAATGTCCCAGTTCTTCCATGGCCTGCATACTCACCAGACATGTCACCCATTGAGCATGTTTGGGATGCTCTGGATCGACGTGTATGACAGCGTGTTCCAGTTCCCGCCAATATCCAGCAACTTCGCACTGCCATTGAAGAGGAGTGGGACAACATTCCACAGGCCACAATCAACAGCCTGATCAACTCTATGCAAAGGAGATGTGTCACGCTGCATGAGGCGAATGGTGGTCACCAGATACTGACTGGTTTTCTGATCCACGCCCCTACCTTTTTTTTATGTAACTATGACCAACAGATGCATATCTGTATTCCCAGTCATGTGAAATCCATAGACTCGGGCCTAATTTATTTATTTCAATTGACTGATTTACTTATGAACTGTAACTCAATAAAATCTTTGAGATTGTTGCATGTTGCGCTTATATTTTTTTTCAGTGTAAAAACAACATTACATTCATTGTCTTTGTATAATATATAGATTATAGTGTCAGTCATAATACAATTATGGACTTGATATTCTAAAGGTACTGTACATAGCATGCTCAAGCAGGTAGTGCAGTGAAGAGAGAATAGGGCTGTGTCCCAAAAGTCTTAAAAACATCCTTTCCTCATCTCTTTCTCCTTCTCTTGTCTCCTTACTTTCAATACCACTGACAGGTAAAGGTGGTAAATAGAGCAGCATTTCCCCTATATGCATTTAGCAGCGCAGTGGCTGTGTTTTTAATTCATTTGGAGTTGAGGGATACAGCTGGATCTACAAAACAGATGTCGTGGGGCATGGACTCATCCCAACATCAGACCACTTTTGAGGGCTGAAAACATCGGATGAACTTTGACTTTGATGTGAACTGTCCCTTTAAGACTATTGGGACCCATTCTGAGGTGGATAGATGGCTGGAGGAGGGGTGGAATGCAATCCCAGATTCATTTAAATACGCTAGAGGGGTTCCCTTTCCTTGTCTCCTTTCCTTTATGTATATTGATCGGAAAAGACTGAAGCAATATGGCGGAGGTCTATGGGTTAGCTAGACTTCAATACATCAGGAGGAGGGGGGAGGAGAAAGAAAGGAAGGAGGAGGAGGAAAGGAAGCCACTTGTGGATATTGAGATGCAACCGACCTACAACTGTGCAGAATGAAAGACAAAAAGACAGAAAGACAGGCTAGAATGCTGCAAGGAAAGAAAAGTAGTGTTTCTGAAAAACAACATCACAATTGGCTGGAAGAGTTTCTATCTGGCTTTCAGGCTCCCCTTCTCTATCTTGCTCCTTCCATGCCCAGCCCCTGCCTCCTCACCCTTTCTCTCTCACCCCTTACCCCAGGGGTGGCCAAATTTGACCCAGGCTCTAGCCCAGCACTTACACTCCTAATTCACCTACCGGTAGTCAACGAAGGAGGTCTTCAATGTAGACCATGAATAGTTAAATTGGGTGTGTTCAATTGGCCATGAATCCTAACTTGAGTTGAGTTAGGATTCAGGGCCAGATCCGTTGGGCTAGAACAAAAGCCTGCACACATTGTAGCCCTGCAGGACTGGAGTTCCACCCTTGCCTTACCCCCTCTCCTCCCATATCCTCCCCCCTTCTCCCCCTCACTGCCTGTCGTCAGACAGCATGTCGAAGAGCGCCTGCAGCAGCCGGTCGTCTCTGTGCCTGTAGGGCTTGGCACTGTAAAAGCCGTCACTGAAGTCGCTATAGAGGCTGTTGTCCTGCCCGCCCCGCTGGTACTGGTTGATCCTGTCAAGGGCCTGGTACAGCTTCTGTGGAGCGATGTGAGGGCCTGCTCCCCCTGGAAGGGAGGGGGCCCTGCCCTGGTGCTGCTCTCCCCAGCTAGAGGAGGTCTTGGCTGGGGACTGGGGCAGGGCGGCTGGGGTATGTCTGTTGAAGGCCGTCTGGAGGAGACGCAGAAGGGCCAGGGAGGGGGAGAGGGGCAAGGAGGAGGGTCTTGTCTGCTTCCTCTCAGGGGTGGCAGGAGGAGGGGGCTGGGTCTTCTGTGGTGGGTGAACCTCAGCCTGGGTGGGCAGCTCCTATATGATGGGACAGGGAGAAGGACGAAAAGACAGAGTCAGAAAATGGTTTAGAGGTGGGTTCTACCTAGGAGTTGATTTAACTCCTCAGTTCTGCACATTTTCAGTGGATAAGGTCAGTAAGCCACACATAATTGCATTTGAGATCTGTCGACAGTCGACAGACAATACATACTTACATGGAAGTCTCACATACTGTATGTAGAAACTGGTATGCTTCTGGAGATGTTAAAAAGAGGTGAATTGCCCCTTTAATTATCGCGCTCACCTCTATCATATCATCCATGTGCTCCACTCCTCTACGGTCATTCTGGACAGCATTGTAGGGGACGTACACTCTGGGTTTCTTCATGAGCTCAGGCTTTTCTGACGTGCCATGGAGAATCAGCTTCCAGCTCAGGATCTGACCTTCGTTCTCCATTCGCCCCGACTGACAGAGGGAAATTGAAAAAGAGTGTAAAAATCACCTTGTTTAGACAACATGTTGATACAATGGCCAGATACATTTTCTATGTGGTTCGAAATCGCCTTTGTTGGAAAATACTGGATTGGAAGTATCCCTTAAAATATGTTAAACTTGTGAAACAGCCAAAGCGTTCTCCAGCCCTGGGACTCACTGTGTCAGTGATCTTAAGGGTCCAGGTGCCAGTGGGGTCCTCTCCCCATGTGTGAACTGACATGAAGTCCCAGTTCCTGAAGCCGTTAGATGACGTGTCCCTCTCTCTCTCCGCCAGCAGGACTGTGCTGGTGCCTAATGGGAGACAATAATGTATAATATAGAGTTGTTTAACTCCAGTTTTCAGTTTTATCTATCTATATATATATACAGTGCATTCGGAAAGTATTCAGACCCCTTGAATTTTTCCACATTTTGTTACAAAACAGCCTTATTCTAAACTGGATTTAACTGTTTTTCCACTCATCAATCTACACACTATACCCCATAACGACAAAGCAAAAACTGGTTTTTAGAAATGTTTGGAAGTGTATTAAATATAAAAAAACGAAATATCACATTTACATAAGTATTCAGACCCTTCACTCAGTACTTTGTTGAAGCACCTTTGGCAGCGATTACAGCCTCGAGTCTTCTTGGCTATGACGCTACAAGCTTGGCACACCTGTACTTGGGGAGTTTCTCCCATTCTTCTCTGCAGATCCTCTCAAGCTCTGTCAGGTTGGATGGGGAGCGTCGCTGTACAGCTATTTTCAGGTCTCTCCAGAGATGTTTGATCGGGTTCAAGTCCGGGCTCTGGCTGGGCCACTTTGTGCTTAGGGTCGTTGTCCTGTTGGAAGGTGAACCTTCGCCCCAGTCTGAGGTCCTGAGCGCTCTGGAGCAGGTTTTCATCAAGGATCTCTCTGTACTTTGCTCCGTTCATCTTTCCCTCGATCCCGACTAGTCTCCCAGTACCTGCCGCTGAAAAACATCCCCACAGCATGATGCTGTCACTACCATGCTTCACTGTAGGGATGGTGCCAGGTTTCCTCCAGATGTGACGCTTGGTATTCAGGCCAAAGAGTTCAATCTTGGTTTCATCAGACCAGAGAATCTTGTTTCTCATGGTCCGAGTGTCCTTTAGGTGCCTTTTGGCAAACTCTAAGCGGGCTGTCATGTGCCTTTTACTGTGGAGTGGCTTCCGTCTGGCCACTGTACCATAAAGGCCTGATTTGTGGAGTGCTGCAGAGATGGTTGTCCTTCTGGAAGGTTCCCATCTCCACAGAGAAACACTGGAGCTCTGTCAGAGTGCTTGGAGCTCTACGAACAATTTCTTCGACCTCATAGCTTGGTTTTTGGTCTGACATGCACTGTCAATTGTGGGACCTTATATAGACAGGTGTGTGCCTTTCCAAATCATGTCCAATCAATTGAATTTACCACAGGTGGACTCCAATCAAGTTGTAGAAACATCTCAAGGATGATCAATGGAAACAGGATGCACTTGAGCTCAATTTCGAGTCTCATAGCGAAGGGTCTGAATACTTATGTAAATAAGGTATTTCTGTTTATTTTTTTTACACATTTGCAAACATTTCTAAAAACCTGTTTTCACTTTGGCATTATGGGGTATTGTGTGTAGATTGATGAGGAATTGTATTTATTTAATCCATTTTAGAACAAGGCTGTAACGTAACAAAATGTGGAAAAAGTCAAGGGGTCTGAATACTTTCTGAATGCACTGTATATATACTAACGTTCAAAAGTTTGGGGTCACTTAGAAATGTCATTGTTTTCGAAAGAAAAGCAATTTTTTTGTCCATTAAAATAACATACAATTGATCAGAAATACAGTGTAGACATTGTTAATGTTGTAAATGGCTATTTTAGCTGGAAACGGCTGATTTTTTATGGAATATCTACATAGGCGTACAGAGAACCATTATCAGCAACCATCAGTCCTGTGTTCCAATGGCACGTTGTGTTTGCTAATCCAAGTTTATCATTTGAAAGGCTATTTGATCATTAGAAAACCCTTTTGCAATTATGTTAAAACAGCTGAAAACTGTTTTATTATGTTAAAATCAGCCGTTTCCAGCTACAATGGCCATTTACAACATTAACAATGTCTACACTGTATGTCTGTTCAATTTGATGTTTGTCACGCCCTGGCTCTGGGGACTCTTGTATGTTGAGCCAGGGTGTTAGTTTCGTTGTGTAGAGTCTATGTTTCGTGTTTCTATGGTATGTTCTAGGTTATGTGTTTCTGTGTTGGCCGGGGTGGATCTCAATCAGAGGCAACGAGAATCAGCTGTTGCTTGTTGTCTCTGATTGGGAACCATACTTAGGCAGCCTTGTGTGCACTTGTTATTCGTGGGATCTTGTTCCGTGTAGGTTTGTGTTTTGTTAACCGAGGACTTCACGTATCGTTTGTTGTTTTGTTATTGTATCGTGTTGGAAAAGTACACTATTAAAGAAGATGTACGCATATCACGCTGCGCCTTGGTCTACTCCTTTTGACGATCGTGACAGAAGATCCCACCAAAACAGGACCAAGCAGCGTGCCCAGGAGCAGACAGCCTGGACTTGGGAGGAGATCTTGGACAGGCAGGGGTCCTGGACTTGGGAGGAAATCCAGGCCGGTATGGATCGGCGTCCGTGGGAGGAGACGGTGGAGGCGCGCCATAGAGAGGAGCAGCGGCGCCAACCGGGCCGACGTCGGACACGCAAGAGGCAACCCCAATAAATTTTTAGGGGGGGCACACGGCATGGACGACGGGGCTGCTGGAGGCAGCTACAGGGCGAGTTTGGGGGTTAGGAGAGGAGGCCACCGGGTTTGGGGGGCTGGAAGGGAGGTTGGTGGAGCCTAGAGGTAGAGCAGAGCCAACTCCCCGTACTCAGGCTAGGCAGTGTGAGACTGGGCAGGTTCCGAGGTATGCGGAGCTGCGTACTGTGCCGCGAGGGGTCCGGCACAGTCCGGTACGTCCTGTGCGAGCACCATGCACGTGTCGTGCTAAGGTGGGCATGCAGCCAGGACGGAGTGTGCCGGCTCAACGCTCGTGGCCTCCAGTACCCCTCCTCGGTCCCGGATATCCTGCGCCAGTGTCACGTGCTGTAGTGCCAGTGCGAGTACACAGCCCTGTACGTCCTGTGCTGATGCCTCACACAGAGTGTGTAAAAATAGGCATTCAGCCAGGACGGGTTGTGTCAGCTCTTCGCTCCAGACCTCCAGTCCGTCTCCACAGCCCGGTCTGGCCTGTTCCTGCCCCTCGCACCAAGCCAATGGTGCGCGTCGCCAGCCCGGTCCGGCCTGTTCCTGCCCCTCGCACCAAGCCAATGGTGCGCGTCGCCAGCCCGGCCCGGCCTGTTCCTGCCCCTCGCACCAAGCCAATGGTGCGCGTCGCCAGCCCGGCCCGGCCTGTTCATGCCCCTCGCACCAAGCAAATGGTGTGCGTCACCAGCCCGGCCCGGCCTGTTCCTGCTCCCCGCACCAAGCCTATGGTGCGCGTCGCCAGCCCGGCCCGGCCCATTCCTTCCCCTCGCACCAAGCCAATGGTGCGCGTCGCCAGCCCGGCCCGGCCTGTTCCTGCCCCTCGCACCAAGCAAATGGTGCGCGTCGCCAGCCCGGCCCGGACGGTTCCTGCTCCCCGCACCAAGCCTATGGTGCACGTCGCCAGCCCGGCCCGGCCCGTTCCTGCTTCCCGCACCAAGCCAATGGTGCGCTTCGTCAGCCCGGTCCGGCCCATTCCTGCTCCCTGCACCAAGGCAATGGTGCGCGTCAGGTACCGGTCAGCTGCTCCACACTGGAGCCTAAGCAATCCGCTCCACCGATGTCCAGTCCAGCTCCAGCCAGCGGGGCCAGACCAGACCAGGGGCGCTACGGGGGGTTTGTTAGAGGGTGGTGGTCACGCCCGGAGCCGGATCCGCCTCCGAGGAGGAATGCCCACCCGGCCCCTCCCCTGTTGGGTTTATGTTGCCGCGGTCACAGTCCGCGCCTTTGGGGGGGGGGGGTACTGTCACGCCCTGGCTCTGGGGACTCTTGTATGTTGAGCCAGGGTGTTAGTTTCGTTGTGTAGAGTCTATGTTTCGTGTTTCTATGGTATGTTCTAGGTTATGTGTTTCTGTGTTGGCCGGGGTGGTTCTCAATCAGAGGCAACGAGAATCAGCTGTTGCTTGTTGTCTCTGATTGGGGACCATACTTAGGCAGCCTTGTGTGCACTTGTTATTCGTGGGATCTTGTTCCGTGTAGGTTTGTGTTTTGTTAACCGAGGACTTCACGTATCGTTTGTTGTTTTGTTATTGTATTGTGTTGGAAAAGTACACTATTAAAGAAGATGTACACATATCACGCTGCGCCTTGGTCTACTCCTTTTGACGATCGTGACAATGTTATTTTACCGGACAAAAAAATTGCTTTTCTTTCAAAAACGAGGACATTTCTAAGTGACCCCAAACTTTTGAACGGTTGTATATATATATATATATATATATATATAGAGAGAGAGAGATATTGTGTGCGTGCATGTGCGTGTCTAACGAACCTGATGGGGAAGTGAGTGTGATGTGTAGGTCTCCTCTCCTGGTGTACTCGATGCTGGCCTCCACTTGCACGTGCTCCAGTGAGAGGACAGCGTTTTCCTGGCCGGCGCAGGCCTTGGTGGGGATCTCAATGGTGATCTCCCCTGCTGCTTTCAATGCTCTGGCAGAAAGACACAGCACAGAGAAATCAGTACTGTGGTTGCAGCACAGCACAGCACAACATACCAAACCAAACAACTTCAGTTTAACATACAGTACCATTCAAAAGTTTGGACACACCTACTCATTCAAGGGTTTTTCTTTATTTTGACTATTTTCTACATTGTAGAATAATAGTGAAGACATCAAAACTATGAAATAACACATATGGAATCATGTAGTAACTAAAAAAGTGTTACACAAATCACAATATATTTTATATTTGAGATTCTTCAAATAGCCACCCTTTGCCTTGATGACAGCTTTGCACACTCTTGGCATTCTCTCAACCAGCTTCATGAGGTACTCACCTGGAATGCAGTTCAATTAACAGGTGTGCCTTCTTAAAAGTTAATTTGTGGAATTTCTTTCCTTCTTAATGTGTTTGAGCCAATCAGTTGTGTTGTGACAAGGTAGGGGGGGTATACAAAAGATAGCCTAATTTGGTAAAATACCAAGTCCATATTATGGCAAGAACAGCTCAAATAAGCAAAGAGAAACGACAGTCCATCATTACTTTAAGACATGAAGGTCAGTCAATACGAAACATTTCAAGAACTTTTAAAGTTTCTTCAAGTGCAGTCTCAAAAAACATCAAGCACTATGACGAAACTGGCTCTCATGAGGACCACCACAGGAAATGAAGACCCAGAGTTACCTCTGCTGCAGAGGATAAGTTCATTAGAGTTACCAGCCTCAGAAATTGCAGCCCAAATAAATGCTTCACAGAGATCAAGTCACAGACAAATCTCAACATCAACTGTTCAGAGGGGACTGTGTGAATCAGGCCTTCATGGTCGAATTGCTGCAAAGAAACCACTACTAAAGGACACCAATATGAAGAAGAGACTTGCTTGGGCCAAGAAACACGAGCAATGGACATTAGACCGGTGGAAATTTGTCCTTTGGTCTGGAGTCCAAATTGGAGATTTTTGGTTCCAACCGCCGTGTCTTTGTGAGACGCGGTGTGGGTGAACGGATGATCTCCACATGTGTACTTCCCACCGTAAAGCATGGAGGAGGAGGTGTTACGGTGTGGGAGTGCTTTGCTGGTGACACTGTCTGTGATTTATTTAGAATTCAAGGCACACTTAACCAGCATGGCTACCACAGCATTCTGCAGCGATACGCCATCCCATCTGGTTTGGGCTTAGTGGGACTATCATTTGAGACTGCACTTGAAGAGACTTTCAAAGTTCTTGAAATGTTCCGTATTGACTGACCTTCATGTCTTAAAGTAATGATGGACTGTCGTTTTCTTTGCTTATTTGAGCTGTTCTTGCCATAATATGGACTTGGTATTTTACCAAATAAGGCTATCTTCTGTATACCCCCCCTACCTTGTCACAACACAACTGATTGGCTCAAACGCATTAAGAAGGAAAGAAATTCCACAAATTAACTTTTAAGAAGGCACACCTGTTAATTGAACTGCATTTTAGGTGAGTACCTCATGAAGCTGGTTGAGAGAATGCCAAGAATGTGTAAAGCTGTCATCAAGGCAAAGGGTGGCTATTTGAAGAATCTCAAATATAAAATATATTTTGATTTGTTTTACGCCTTTTTGTTTACTACATGATTCCATATGTGTTATTTCATAGTTTTTATGTCTGGAAACAACGAGGGTTTAGGAAAAGTGATGGTACACCCATACAACACCACGAGCAGATTGAAAAATGTATGACGGCAAAAAATGTACCCCACAAAATAGCCAATAATAAAGTGTCAGGCGCATAAGAAAGGAAATTGACTTATAATCAAAGGAAACAATACGATTGATGAAGCTGCCAAGAAGGCATCTAAATGCACCATCCCAGTGTTAACGGCACCAATGGTCATTATTGAGTCTATACCGCAACCAGATAACATAATTAGGATGCAGGAAAGGGCAGGACCTTATGAACAAACAATGTGGCACCAAAGAGGGGCCACCAAAGATGCGACAGGATTATGGAGGTCTCATGAAGGAACCATAGTAGCACCCACTATGTTGCTCAATCTACTGATAACTGCTGCACATGGTTTTGACCATTGCGCAAGGGGGGAAGTGAAAAGGAAAATTTTTAAACAGGGATACTGGTCACCATACCTACAGGCAATGGTAGATGAAGCACTAACAAAATGTCAGGTGTGTGCACAAAACAATGTACGAAAAGGAATAACTACGCCCATAGGTCACATACCTGTCCCAGAGGGACCATTTTGACACCTAGTCATGGACTATGTAGATATGATAAAAAAGGTGAATGGCAAAAGATGCATGCTAATACTTTTTTCCCTCACTGTAAAGTGATCTATCTCCAGGAAAAAAGGCGAGAACCGGAACCCGGACCAGAGGAGCCAGGACCGGTGATTCCAGGAGACCAAGTTTACATCTGAGTGTTTCGTAGAAAGTGGAACAAGCCCAGGAGAGAAGGACCATACATGGTGATCCGAGCAACGCCCACGGCGATACAGGTGGAAGGAAGTACAACGTGGTACCATCTGAATCACTGCACCAGGGTCTCGAAGGGAACCGGCCTGCCACCGGCGAGCCATGAGGGAGCTGAGGATGTCGAGGCACCAGGCGGAGTCCAAGAAGAAGAAGAAGCAAGCACGAGCCTTAGCACCAACATCGAAGGCCAGCAGGCACTCCCTCCTGATAATCCAGAGAGTCAGGAGATGGGGCCTGATGAGGTGGGTAATACTGCTGATAGGATACCTGCTATGGCAGAAGCCCCAAGCACAAGCGATCCCCCAGGCAATGGAGAGTGACTTCCCCGCCATTGAAGAAAGTGACTCCCCTGCCATTGAGGAAGGTGACTTTCCCACGATTGACTTCTCTGCCCTATTATGATCCCCAACAACTGAAGAGCTGTGGAATTGCTCTGACACTAATAGCAGTTAACCTAGGAAAGATGGTATTGAGTCTGCCCACAACTATACAGTATTCTAGAGATAGCCTTACTGAGCCAGGAAGAGTATCTGTTGTGAACAGAGACCAAATATTGTACACAGGCTGACCTAAACTAGGTAGATGTCAGATAGAAGTTTAAAATAAAATGCCAATAAAATCATTGTGTGGAAGTTAAGCCAAAAATAAATAAAAATGGAAAACTTGTAGGGAATAGATATGTAAAAATAATGGATATAAAACAAGCCAAACATCTTATGATCTCACCAGTACTTAAGGAATTGGCCCCTGAAGCTAGAATAAAAAATAGAATAAAAAAGCAGGTACCATTGGAAACAGCTCAAACTAGTATTTTTATTCCAGCCCAATAAATGACAGCTACAGAAACTCAAAGATCCTTTTCAGTACGGAGGATCAAACCTCTGCCAGAACGATCAATTTGTGGGTGGGCTAATCATCAAACAATGGGAGAAGCAATCTGGGATGAATATGGCTGTAAAATAGAAATTGACAAGGGAAACACTACTTGGGAAATTACCTTAGAGGAGTTGACACAAGAGAATGATGCTAAATATGTTTTGGAAATAGTCAGCACTAAATGGTCAGAAGGGAACAATATAACAACGATTGATATTACTCCTAAATCCACACGTCAGCCTAGACAGGAAAGAAAAATAGGGACAGACAATGCAACCATGGCAATCACCCAAGGACCGTCAATTATTGTAACAACTAAACCAATAAAGATAGAATTAGAAACAACAGAATCAACTGGTTTCTTTCAAAATGTATGGGAATCTTTAACTAATTGGGGAAACCAGGAAAATAAACGATCTTGCTCAGCCCCAGCAGTAATACCGGAAATAATGAAAGCACCAACAAAACTAAGGAGACTATGGGAGGGAGCATTACAAAATGATTGGTACAGATGGGCACAGTATTCAGCTAAAGTAATTAATAAGAAAACGGATTGTCTAGTATGCTCCCCCTCCCCATTAAAGGAACTGATGGTAATAATAAGTCCACATAGCCACAGGGACTGTGCTGACTTTAAACGAAACTTCTGTCACCTCAAAAGATCAGAGAGACCCTATTGCCCTGCAGAATGCTTATCCTTCTTAGGAAGTCCTGACCACCACAAATACTATAATCAGTCAGGATAGGGGGAGTGGTGTAAAAAATTTGATGTCAGAATAGAACCAAGAAAAATGGAAACACCAGAGAAATATCGAATAGATTATGAGCAGAAGTATGAATGCTATAACTAAACAAATGGGGAACATGATTTGGGAGAATTTATGGGAAAATGTGAGACCACATGGCACCTAAATAACGATATGTCTTGGAATGCAGACACTCAAAGAGCAATCTATCAGGCGGCAGGGTCAAGCACTGGAGTGATAGTTACTAATGGAGGGCCTGGTGACCCTGGGGAATGCGAGAAGCAAACACTATCACTGCCACTGATCTCTCTTTATGAGGAGCAATCGGTGGCAGTGGCAGATTTCTTTTGGGTATGTGGAGAACAACGAATTAGAGCCACTTTGCCTAAAGGATGGATGGGAATATGTGCTAGAGTACAAATGCTTCAGGAAGTAGTTATATCAGAAAAATCTGACAAAGAGCATATGAACATGACCCCAAAGTATATTTGGGTTCAATAGGTCAGCCTAGAGGAATTCCAAATGAATATAAGGCAAGATATGAAATTAAAGCAGGATTTGAATCAATATTTGTCTGGATATCGCCTAACAAAAACCTAGAATGGATCAATTATATTTACTATAATACAACAAAGGTTTATTAATTACACAGACTGTGCGTTAACAGCTCTGGGAGAGCAAGTACAGGCTACAAGTAGAATGACAGGCAGAATAGGCAGGCTTTAAACTGGCTGTTGGCAGAAAAAGGTGGAGTTTGTGTTATGTTTGGGGATGAATGTTGTACCTTCTTTCCCAATAATACTGCTCTGGATGGTTCATTCACTGAAGCAATGAATAAGCTCAAAGGACTACGAAAAGAAGATAAGGACAATGCCGGGCATGACGCTCACACTTGGGATTGGATG